AATCAATATAACATTGTTTTATAAACAACTCCTTGTGTACCTGTAGATTTTTACTCAGGATTTGACTTGGACCAAAGGGAAAGAATCATAATTGTGTTGGTTTGTCATCTGCTAGGTGATTTGGTGCTGTGGGTTCGAGTCCTCCTCAAGATAACAAAAATTCTGATGCCTGTGCTAGTGCTTCTGAGAGAGTCGGCTCTCACCCCATTATACCTAGTTTACTAAAAGTAAAGATTTTAGTAGCAAATGAATAACTAAATAAGTTTTTTTGTACCTCAAATTCTATTTCTGCACCTGCAGCTTTTTTCTCTTCAATTCCTTTAAAAATTTCTTCACAGAACATTGGTACAACACCTTGAATATAACATTGTATTAGAGGTTAATCTGAGTTAACTTTATTTCAGGATCATTAAAGCCAGATTCACAGTCAGCATGTCCTTATTTCTTTCAGATTATATAAAAGTTTTGTATGTGTATGGAAGAGAATTTACCTTTATTGACACCGTAACCCACAATAGACCAACTTTTACCACTACCAGTTTGACCATACGCAAACAATGTAGTATTATAACCATTCCACGCATTCTTTAATATTCCTACACCAATATCATCAAACACACGTTTCTATAAATAGATACAAATACACAACATTATCAGTTAACACACATTTCTAAAAATGGATACATCATCAAACTAAAATAAATATTGATTAAGATGTTTTTCAGACTCTATATAATTGAAAGTTTTTCTGTTTTTTTTTCCCAAGGAGATGTAAAGTTCTGCAAAAATTGTCCCTTTTACTACACTTTCATTTCATACCATACAGAGTTTAGGGCCCACTATGCACCACTTTCCAGAATTTGCTGAAAAACTCAACATATCACTGACCTGGTCACAGAATTTTCTGCCATTAGGGTGTGAGGGGTCTTGACCGTAAAATCCCCCAGGCATCTCCTTACTGCCATCATGTGACCAGTAACTAAAATCAAATGCAAACTTTTTCTCCTCGCCATCTTCCGGGTCTGTGATAATGGTAGTTGGCCCTTTCATATCGATTATACATTTTGCGTTGCGTTCTCGCTCACGACGATTGTAAGGTTAGGTTAAAGAAAATAACAGGATATTTTGATCTGAAAATCATAATGAATTGATTGATAGGAAACATAAGCAGAGTAGTCTATTATATCAAAACTTGTTTGAAGAAGGGTACCACAGTTACAGAGGTCAACCACAGTCACAGATATTAAACACAACCACGGTCACAGATATCAACCACACTTACAGATGTCAACTGCAGTCACAGATGTCAACCACAGCCACAGAGGTCAACCACAGTCACAGAGGTCAACCACAGTCACAGATGTCAACTACAACCACGGTCACAGATATCAACCACAGTCACAGATGTCAACCACAAACAAGTCAGTCACAGCTGTCAATCGTCAGCTACAGTCTGTGATGTCAACCACAACCTGGTTGTCAATCACAATCAAAAATGACAACTGCAGCCACAGATGCATGAACAAAGATATACTTTATAATTATTCTTTAAAGTTTTAAATATAATATATAATGATGGTATGGTATATCTGATATCTTTGAATTTTTATTGATAGTTAAATTTTTTATTTTCTGCATTTATAAAATTCATTTATCATTCTTGTTTTCTGTATTTATAAAGAAAATGGCAGTAGATTTGTCTCTAATTATTATGTTTATTGAATAAAGATATGGTATCTAGTAAATATTGCAACATATTATTAATAATATAAACTTTTATATCGTAAAGCTAACTAATGACATATTGCAATATCATGTTTTATTGAGACAGTATTATATCTTATTAATTGTGTTTAATACAAAGAAATCAATTGGGAAATCAGTCAGCTTATTGAACTTCATACCAGTTCACTGACAAATACAATATATTTCATACTGTCCTCACACATTTCTTGGTTAATTGAATTTTGCTGATTTTGTGTATGTGAGAGTGAATATAAACAAGACTTTGCCTTCAATAAAAATTCTTTTGCTTAATTAAAACAGAATAAAAACACAGATCTTTCTATGAATTTCAAAAGAAAATGACCCAAACTGGTCCTTAGTGATAGTTACTTTATATTAATATTTCAATCAATGTTCTGTTACATGCTGTCTTCTTGAGCCAAATCACCAAGAAAAGATAGAAGATTACACGCTATGTAATATGTGCTATTATTAGTAATGTTATGTTGCTAATATTGCTATCACCAAGACAGAATTAAACTTTAAATATATTTATATATATATATATATATATACAGTTTTAAAGGGACAGGTTCACCATCCGTTTGACCAATCATACCTATGTCTCAGAAATGTGAATTAATTTTAACTAAGCCTATCAGTAATGGTGTTCACAGCTAACCTTCGAAATTTGAGTCTTCAAAAAAGGCGAACTTGTCCCTATAAACTAAATAAGTCTTTCTGTAAGACATAAAAATTACTGACAATTCATGCTTACACTTCGCTAACAATTGATACCCTCCTGGGCAATTTGCTCATCCCCCTTTATCAGAAATTCAGAACAAAACATTTTGTTTCAAGATAATTTTCTTGTAAATTTTATACGAAAGCGGCACTCAACCGCCCCCACTCGTTCAATCCTCACAGATGGCCTGTATCTCTGCCTTGGCACTTAGTTTTGTATTTCAAAGAACCTTTCATGTTATTTCAAAACAAACTTTACTTTAGTCATGGTTCCTCACTTTTAGAAACCAAACCAAAAGGATTGTCAAGAGGTTTTCTAGTCACTGATAACTCAATTTGAATGATTCCATTGTCAGTCAGACATCTGTGAGCATTGCATTTATTATAAAACTAACTTGTGTAATTAATGCTGTTTATCACAGTTTTTTATTATCAAGAAATCCTATTATTACAAACTGTATTTCAGAAATCTTTTTAGATAAAGGTCTATGACCCTGCCCTAGTTTAATAAGTATTACATGTATTAAATATATATTGAAATCTGTAACAATGTATCTAAGTAATAATGATGTAATGCTATATTTGTTATAGATTTTTGTTATTAAAGAACACAGACAGTATAACATATTGAACGGTATTTTAATGGTACCGGTATATAAAGTTATAATCTCAATCAATCACCAAAACAAACATTATTCTTCCATTACTCATTGATTTTTACATTTGTTTATAACTACCATTGCCTAGTCCTAGTTACTTATTTATTCATCAGTTCATTACAGACACATCAGAATATTATCTTATCCTCAATCAAATTTATTATCTATAATAAACACTGAAGACAGAATGTTAAAGAGAAAGACCTCAGAATCCACACAGGACAAGACATGCAGATGATTTTGAATTTCGCAAGGGACTGCACACACTTAGAAGTGGGAACCTCTCACATCCTTATTTTTGAATCAATCCTCCAGCCCCCAAACCCACCTATTCTTAGATTTGAGAAAAGAAATAGATTCAATTGATTTAAATAAACATTTGGAAGAATACATATAGAGTTTCTTCCATTTCCAACATGTATTTGGATTTGAAAAATAGAGTGGATTATACCTACCTAATGATATGCAATATATACATGTATATAATATTTCTGACATAAGCTTAAAAGAACATAACATCTAACAATAGTTATATAGTTTGTGAATTAATACCAGTATATTAATAAATAATCATATCATTATATCAATCTACAGTTATAACAGTTCTATATAATATACCAAGTGGTCCATATAATACATAATCTATTATTTATTTTGTAAAGTACCGGTATGACTATTAGTTTTGAATTTCAGTCATTCTAAGTATTTTTTAATTCATATTTTTCTCCAATTTCAAAATCTTGACAAACATGTTATTAAAAACTAATCAAAATCACAATAAGAAGGAAACTAATGATTATATTAATTAATAACCAGCCAGATAATGAAAGATAAATACTAAGTAAGTTTATAGATAGATCTAAATGAATCAGGACTTGTTGTTTAATAGTCTTCATAAAGGAGGAGATAGGGGAAGGGATGGGGTTGTAGGGATCAAGTGCACCCCTTTAGTGTCAGAGTGGTTTTCCTTCAATATTTTGTGTTTGTAATTTTGCTTTTTGATCTTTGATTAACTTAATTTCAAGAGAGTGATCATTCTCCTTTTCTACAAGGCAGACGTCTATTCCTCATATAAAATACATTTAACAACGCAAAGAGTGAGCTCACTTTTGAACCTGACTCCACAGCCAGTGCTTTTGACAATTTGGCCCAATGTTGGTATTAATAAGCATCATAAGCTGAATCAGGTAATACAATAGTGTGCAAGCTTACTGAAACTAGGGCTGCAAAAAGGAGCCAAACCGAACCTTAATGAGGACACAACACTGTCAAGGTTGATATTCCAAATGCAGAAGTATTGTAGAAATGTCATAGCCACTGTTCTCCGATGGCGGTTCTGAGGGCGTTTCCACTAAAATAGATTTTTGAAATTCCCTACATACATGAAGTGAGGGTACCTTTTGGGGGCATGCTATTTTTCTTAGAGGGCAAATTTCCTACCTACCCTATATTTGAATCAATAGACAGAGTTATATAAATCTATAAGACCTGATTGATTACTCTCTTAACATAATCCTATTGAATACAGTATTTATATTTATAATAACTGGTGATTATTTCTATACATCATTAGTTTCATATTGATACTTATAAATACTGATTAATTAAAACAGGCAGATCTACTGGGCTTGTTATTTTGGGGTAATGAGTCAAATATCTGGTTTATGATATGTAAGCTTATGGCCCTGACGTTAAATCTGAACCCCAGCACAGACTCATTCCTGGTGACTGGGCAGGCCTTCATTGAAACTAAAAGATAGCAATTTAATAAGAACAGGTACAAGCTCAATTCCAGCTAACTGTATTTAAGCTCAGTGAATTAAAATATTGCTTAAGCACCTGATAGAGCTCAAATACAGTAAGCTTATATAGCTGTTAGCCTACATATCCCTTCAAATACAATATAGATGGCTGTCAGAGCAAATATTAAGACTGTTATCCTATATTACCAAGCCTATCCATTTAAAAATTTGAATGTTTTAAGGTTGAAAAACAGATATCAAATCAATAATAGTATTTGAGACGATTCTGCCAACAAAATTTAGAAAAATTGAATTGAAGTGTTGCACTCTGACACCTATTTTGGGGCAAAAACGTATAAAAATCCTTTTTTTCCAGCTATTAAAGATAAAAGTTTCAATGCAGGCCTAGTAGGCCTACTGAGTTTGAATAAGTGCCTCATTCATAACTTAAAATAATTTATGCACCATTAGGCTTATGCCAGCTTTTATAGGCCTAGGCCTATAGATCAATAGTTCAAAACTTACCAAAGTTGAATTCCACAATCAAATACTTAATATTTGAATAGACTCCCATTCACACAAGATGACCTCCACCCCACCCTCTCTCTAATCTGCCATTAGTTTTGAAGCATAGCCTCCTAATAGGAGAGAGAGGAGGTGGAGATGACAGTCCCTGACAATAAGCTTACACAACTTTCACTTCAGAGCAATTTCTCTACGAGTATAAACCTGTCAATATCAATAACAATAAGGTTAATAACAACAATACAAATTACTGTCAGTCAATATTCAACAATAGATTATCATAAGTCATTGTCATAAACAATTTAAATGAAGGTCACCCACGTTCAACTTTCAATTCAATATTTTTAAAAGGATATAAATGGTCGAACACGAACTGCTACTTTAAGGTTCTCCGCCGACATTTTGGTTAAAAAATGTCACTTTCCGATTGAAAATTGGTGGAACTATCGCCGAGTTATTCAGCGACGAAGTTTAGAAGAAAATAACAGTAATTTTAAAAATGGATTAAGTTGAGGCCATGAAATTGTTTGTTGAGCATGTTGCTAGGGCTGCAAGGCGCACGCGCTAGGCGATGACGTTATTAAGTGTTTACCGGATTTACTGTAATTATTAATTGAACGCCATGACCTTGAGTTGTTATAATACATATTATAATTATAAAGACATAACAAGGATCGGGTTTCCGAATATAACCTAACCAATCTTATACTGTCAAGCTTGGTGTGCCTATAAAGTAAAACTGGAAGCTTAATTGGATTCCATTAAATGACCTAGAAAATCAATTAATTATATAGGTTCATCTAATATAATCTTCAATGGTCTACCAGGGGAACTGTAGATTAGAGACTGGCCTGGCCTTGCTAAAAGATTCCATTTGAATACGTCAAATTAAACTTCAATTTTTATTTATATCAATTTTCACCTAGGCTACTTTGACTTGACATCTTACTGAAAGTTATAAAGTTGCCGATAGCCTACAACGGTCGGGATGTTACCATAAAATTGATTTGTTATCTAGTATATTATCAGGGCATATACAAAGGGAGGCTAAAGCGTATAAAATGTGAGCAGAATGCCACCCTTGCTCTTGGTTTGTGGACTGTGGTGGCTCAGTGATTTAGACCCTCGTTCGCTAACCTGAAGGTCCAGAGGTCGAGATAATAACTTCGGACTTTTCAACCCGGTTTCACCCCTCAGTGATGCAGGTATCAGGGGCTGACTTTAAAAAAAAAGGCGTCTAGTCGTTCGGATGGGACAATAAACCGAGGCCTTGAGTGCTACAGACAGAGGTGAAGCCAGCTTTTCGTCCGAGGGGACGAGATATCTGAGATTGCCCGAATCTTTAACCTAGTTTAAAACATGCTTTCGGGGCTGCGAGGTGACTATCCCATCTGCCTCCGCCTACAAACTGTGCATGTTAAAGATCTCTCGACAGTTAGAAATCGAAAGAGCAGGCTTATGCCACTGTCCTGGCTCAATTTCCCCCATTGCACCCTGTATGGTGCTGCCCGTCTTCATTAACCAACATGGTGCGGTATCTTGGTTTAATAGAGCCCATGTTATGATGTTACAATAGTTACGTAGTAGCGCAAATAGGGCATAGAAACTGCTCAACGTTTATAGTGCTGAATAAGTTGTATCAGTAGGCTACTGTAGGGCAAGACAAATCTGGTAAGCAATCAGAACTACAAATGGACGCCAGAACACACACCTTGGCTTGTCAATTTACATTTAGATGGGTTCTGTTTTCAGGCATTAGTGACCAGCAAGAACACCAGTCTATTCCTTTAACAAACACAATGTTTCTTCAAGATTCCACAGTAGTTTAAATGATGTCAATTGTAGAAAATATTAGTTTGATTGTGCTCTAGAAATAAAGTGATTGTTATCCATAAAGACTTACTATATTTGGCGCCGAACACTAAATGCCAATGAAACAAAACACTCTATATATTGAAGGGGGAGTGAGTTAATAGGCTTGCTTACTAATCTGAAGGTCCTTGGCCACGTATTCTCGAAACGATCTTAGCGCTAGGACGTCCTAGAATCAATATTAGAAGATAAGAACCTAGGACATCCTAGCGCCAAGATCATTTCGAGAATACGTGGCCAGGATTCAATCCAGGCATAGGTCAGAGATAGTAACTAAGGATTTTTCAACCTGGTTTTCCCCCCTGGTCAGTGATGTAGGTTGGTCGTCCAGATCGGACATTAAACTGAGGCCCCATGTGCTACAGATCCTTCGAAAGTTTGAATACAAAAAAGTAGGCAAATGATGCCATCCTGGCAAAAATTTCCCTCATTGCACACTGCATGGCATTGCTATATGTTGATGGCACCCACATCTGTTGTGATCTCCATCATGATAGTTTACTAATGTTCGATACAGAGATGTGGGTGAATAAAAAAAAAAAAACTATATTTCTGAGTAGAAAATGAGATTTATGCAATTTTTTTATAAATGAAATTTACACGAAAAGCAGCACTTAAGATGACATAGATAATAAAATTATAAATAAATTTGATATAAAGGTTTGAAACTAGAAGTCGCTTGGTGCACGCACATCATCTATTTTTAGTATCATGCGTACTAACTGTGTTGCCAGGAGCAACTGTTGTTTTTTAGCCATCAATGTTTCTATGACTTGTTGATCTTTCATATCTGAAACAGACAAATACATAGAAGTTTTAGATTTGTAAAACTAAATTGCGTCCTTATCACGATATCAGGACAAACTGGAATTATCGTGATAAATGATTAGTCTCACGAAAAACAAGCCACACCCAGCAGTGTGCAACGAGAGAAACAATGTCAAGAAACAGCAAAATCCTAGTCATATCAATTTTCAAATGTCATTAGACCTTTAATGTGCTCAGCCTGCAGCACACAGAACCTCTGTTTACCCTCGAGCAACACCACAGTGTTCAATGGGAAAACTGTAGTATTTCCAAATGGTCTCAGTTTGTAGAACACAGGACCTCAGTCTTTTGTCCCATCTACATCACTCGGCACTTTTCTAATGATATTTTGCCATGTAGTTGTTAATTTGGACTTTAGTAATCCTTCACGAAGCAAAGTAACCTACCATTAGTGCCTTTATGTAAACAGTCAATACCAAGTCGGCCATTTTTCTCTTTCACTTGTCTAGACTTCACCTCGGCTAGTGTATGAATGGGAGCATGCCCACTGTTCTCAGCCAGGGCTAGAGGGATACTTTCTAAAGCTTCAGAGAACGCTCTTACAGCATACTGTTCTAGTGTTGAAATCTGAAATATATTTAAATATAGATAATAGTTTTGCACAGTTGATAAACTTCACAAAGAACCAGTATAATTTGTATATTATACAGAGATTTAAGTTCTACTATCAGTTAACTTCCTGTTAGCTTCATTGTGATGATACATTATTATCAAATTGATATGTGTTTTTCTCCTGTAGACAAGAACGGTTTCAGTAATAAAACTTAAATCAAGACAATCTTTTCCAATTCTTATTCTATAAGTATCCAAGTTGAATTCTTATGTGGCCACATGAGCACCACAATCCTTCCTATTCTGGTCTATTTGCACTTAAAAGCTCACAATGTGCCGTTTCAAATATTTAAACCTCTAGAACAGAGAAAATTATGCATAGATCTAACACTAACTCAATATTCTTTAAACACAAGCTCGACCTATATTATATGAATATGCATAGGTCCATTAGGATAATTTACCTTATCTGCTGCAGCAGCTACAGCCAATGAGCAGGCTATTTCAGGTGCCCCTCCCCCATATACAACACGATTATCTCGTACTAAATTACGTATCACACATAAAGCATCGTGTAAACTTCTCTTAGCTTCATCTACTATCTGAAATTGACAGAAAAGAAAAAAACTTATTTGTGCCCACCAAAAAATATAAAATAACATTTGTGCTTTTAAAGGATTATAGAGTTTTTGTTGGTCCAAGTTCTGTAAATTCTAGAACGACTTTATCTGGCAGATATAGTCATGTGTACATTTCTAGATTCAAAGATTAACTCACATAGAAATATATAGACTTGTTGGATTCTCAGATAACTTATATTTCAAGGGATATAACTCATATATCTTAGTTATAGCTTTAACCCTTGGAGTTCGTCAGGGGCAATGTAAGAGCCAAAGAAAACAAAAACAAAATATCAACTTACCATTTTGTTTCCACCTCTGATAAAGATGGTAACAGCTCGTGAGTTTTTACATTCTTCAATAACCAACATACGTTCTTTAGTCGTTCCGAAGGTTAGTTCTCTTACTATACCAGCATGCCCCAGTTTCTCTTTAGTTAACTCTTCAAATCGTGGTACAATTCTACCTCCAGTGGCTATAGCAATTAACTAGGGAAAGAAATGACATGACATGAAGTTTAAAGTCATACTCTTCTATACCTTTAAGCTCAAGAGGAAAGACAATAATGAGAAAAATTTTGTTAGGATCAAGGGATGACTCTGCTATTTTTAACTATGGAATGTCTTTAATGCATGCAGCCTGCAGTCCACAAGGCGTTTGTTTATGATTCCTCCTAACTACCAACGCATTTACCACATCAGCTCCTTTCAACTGTGGCATGTAGAGCAGCTACCATTGTTTTAACAAACATAACAGTTTTTCTCAATGAAAAACAAATCAAATTCTTATTGTGCATGAATTTTTCAGTTTCAAGCTTCACTAACCTCTATTTCTGGCCCACCGACCCATCTAACAGCTGGTAATTCACGTTGTAATAGAAGATGGTTAGCCTCGTCATCAAAACCCCATTGACAGATAACTAGGTTAGCTCCCTTGTCTTTAACCTGAAATGAGTATAACAGAAAATTTTGTACTTAAACAATTAGTAAAATATCAAAAGCTGATTGCCAAAGTGTGGCTTCTGATGATTTTTCAGGATATGCAAACATTGCAATGCTTACACCTCACAATAGATTCTGATAGAGTCATTTGTACGGACAATCATACAAGGTACAGTTATCATTGATTGTATTATAGTCACTAAGAACTTGACAATAGTTGTCGAATTCTCAATAAATAGTAACTAGAAAGTTTATTTAGCATAGTGTCTGAACTACCTAGAATATATAAAAACTAGTAGATATTCTCTATGCTTAGTAAAAAGCTTATGAGGAGATTAGAGTTTTTATTTGGCTTTTTATTTGGCTGCATTTACCAGTCCGGTCTGTTAAGAGATATCAACTTGTTATTTGGCTATATTTGTCTGTTTTTGCAAGTCCTGTCACAATAGAGATCTGGACATATTTTCATGTTTTTTTCTGTATTTATTTGCTAGTCATATTTAGTATTTTCACACTTGAAATTAGGTACTTAAAACTTGAAGAAATCGTGACCAAGAAGTCAAATCAGGACAACATTGACAAAACAAATCTCAAGCAAAGGGATGATGACAAGAGAAAATATTTTTCAGAAAATCAAAAAATTGTATCTTACCTGCTGTACCATACTTTCAAACTTGTTGAGTTCATATTCTCTCAGGTTATGGTAGTCCTCTACTGATGTTACATCTAACTTATGTTTAGTTTTCGGCTTTGGGGGTTCAAAGGGGCAGGTAAGGATAGCCATCTTAGCATCTTTGACTGTCTGTAAAATAGAAATTAAAATAAAATACATTTTTATATCCGACCTTTTTGCACCTGTTGGGGCCTGTAGAGGACAAAAAGGAACCCTTTGTGAAAGAATCATGTGCTAGATTCAACAAAAATTATTTAAATATTAGCAAATAGTATAAGCTGTGCTGACAAAAATTCTGACAAATAAATCTTCTTGAAAGACTCGAACTTGTTTCCACAACAAAAATTTGTAGGAAATTTTTACAAACTGGACTTTGGTGAGGTCCATTTCTGTGCCTAACTGTCTCGTATGAACAAAATCATAGTAGTCTTATGTTATTATTTACCTTAGGCATCTGAGGATGGCTCATATCTTTATCTATAACAACACCTTTAACTAACATAGTATCTTCTAACTTTCCTCCAACTTTACCTTCTACTTTAATCAACTCAAAATCTACATCTTTACGATTCAAATCAGCTACAGCTAAAATAGCATCTACTGCTATCTCAGCCATTTGACGATGACATCGATTAATACTGAAAATAAATAACATTAGATATAGGAAGACTATCAAGGATATGACGATGCATAAGTTACAACTAATAAAATATATATCAATATATCCATATTTAACAGTGGAATAAAAATGGAAACAGTTCGCACTGCAAAAAGAAGCGTCCATAAAACTTTTGATAAATGAGATTATTCTTTCAATATTGTTACATTTAAACAATGAAATAATGCATATTTCCACACATAAAGTATCAAGGCATTTGCGAATAATGTCTCTTATTGTTTTAAATAGACATACATTCTATGAAAATATAAATACATCAGAACGGGTTTTCAGAAAAGGTCTGTCTTGAATTAAGTTTCTTATTGATAGGGCACAACTTGAGCAAGATATCAAAGCAGAGAAAATTTCGGATGTATCGAAAGCTAGCACATTTTAGCTATCACTTCTTACAATATTTCTTTACTTACATTTTAGAGCCAAGTGTAGTCATAGCTAGTCTGATGAGGGGTTCTGGTTTCTTCAAATCAACATCAAATTTATCACTGATTTTATCTAATGTTTCAACAGCAACTCTGGCGGCCATTTCATATCCATCTGCTATTCTAATAGGGTGTATACCACGATCTAACAACTGTTCTGCTTGTTCTAATAAAGCTCCTGCCAATACTATAATAAAGAGAAATGATTTTGAATTTTATCCGACACTTTTTACACCTTATTAGGTTGTGACATCATGAATTGTGCAATTTGTAAAAGTTCTCTTTGAAAGGAGCACATTAAGCTATACTCTTTTCTTTTACAGTGCTGTCTTATACGTTCTCTATACAAAAGAGCACCAGTACAAAGTCTTAATTTTTGTTCCACTGTTTGACAACATTATTCCAATCTACTGAAATGAATGGAATTTTACATCTACTCTTTTGATCTTTTGCTTAGGGTCAATTTCTCCAGATGCTCTCAACTTACCAACAACACCAGTAGTTCCATCACCAATTTCATCATCCTGTGATCTTGATAACTGCACCATCAACTTAGCAATCTGGTGATCCACGTCCATTTGACCCAGAATAGTAGCTCCATCATTGGTGATGGTCAAATCACCATCAGGACTGACCAACATCTTATCAAGGCCTTTCGGCCCTAAACTCGTCTTCAATACACTTGCCACTGATTTAGCGGCAAGAATGTGACTCTAAAAGGTAAAGATTCTCATGAACTGATCCTCAGAAAACACATGTGTAAAGCAATATCATGATATGACAGACTGGTGAATGATGGACCATGGTATGGTCATTTCTTCAATCCAGTCGCTTAAAATCTCGGAGTAATAAAATTTTAGCAGCACTGTGAAAACTGTGATAAATATTAAGGGTATGCCCACTCTCCTGGAACACTTATCTGCATCATCAATACACACTTTGAATCCATTTCAATTCCGGTAGCTCACAACTGCAAATGACATACTTCGCAATACTTTAATACATTTCAATAGTAGACTTTTTCAGCATAAAAATGCATCCAAAAAGTATGACACATCAACATGCATGAGCATGAGAAAAACAGCAAGCCGACACTTTACTTACTTTGTGGGCTTCAATGCCGGTCAATCGGGTCTTGTTCTCTTGATCCCGAAGGATGATGAACGGACGGCCATATTCATCGAAAGCTATGGATCCTGTGCTAGCCATATTTGCAATAAAATCTCAATTTTCTACTGTAAATTCTTCAGATCGTGGTGGATTATCTCATCGATGGAATTTCAGCATGAAGAAGCTTCTAGATCGCCATAATTCTAAATGCAGTAACGTAAAATCTCACGCAACGAAAATATTTTAATTACTATGATTATTGTTATTGCCCTCAAAAGACAAAATACAATTAAGGAGAATCAATTTGTGTGCATATTTTCTTTAAATTTGCTTAATCATTTGTAAAAAAGGTTAAGCTACGTACATTACTTTGCTAAAGTTTCGTTTCATGTTTAACTATGTAGAATCCTATAAATTTGTTAAACCGGATATCACAATTTCTCGCGAGATTTCAAAGGTAAACAATAAACATAGCAACAAGACGCTTTTCACTTCGTCTGACAGGTTTTAATGAAGTAAAACACGAAAAATTTGTCTTTTGTGAACAAAACAAATTTTTAGAATGTCGTTTTTCGGTTTGACACAATTAGGATACCAGAACAAAGTCAGGGAAGGATCAGCACCGGCCAAAGCAGACCCCATTCGAGGAAATCGACAACTTGGATTTCTTGCTCTGCCTCCGTTGAAAAATGAGCAAACGAAAGAAAGGTCAATCGTTCCCGAAAACCAGACGTCTTCATACGGTCCGGGCCCAAATGGATCCTATGTTGAATATACCAGAATGAGAAATAAACACATTAGAAATCCAAAAGGTGAGTATCTATTTCTTTTTTTTTCCTACATAAAGTAGATCTAAGTAAGAACTGACATATAAATAAGTCAAGTCGATCTAGTGTGAATAGGAATGTCCACTGCTCCTTGGCCCTCAATTCCCAAACCTATGCTAGAAATGTTTGCAACTTTGAATCTTTGCAGAATATTTGTTTTGTAATTTATTGACAGATCAATTCATTGGGTAAGTTAGAATTTAAAGCAGTTCAGATTAAATTTAGACTTAAGCTGATTATTATTATGGTCGAGTTTAAACATGCTATGGCATGCCTTTGATTATGGAAAGTTTTGAAATTGTTACAATCTGATGAAGTTTATAAAGGATGACCAAATTTTCCTTTGCATATTGATAAAAAAAATTCATTTTTTGGGGCGCATGACAGTCACAATTCTTGTTTTGCGAAGATAGCAAACAATTACACATGAATGTTAGTCTAATCCTAATTTCTATCTATTTTCAGTAACATATGAATTATATAGATTCCCAGTGACAACTTCTCATCGTTACGGTTGGTTTAATGTGGATCAGCCATTAAAAGTACGAGAACCATGGACCCATGTTCCTAGAAAAGTTCAAATAAACTCAGAAATGACAAGGTATGTATACTTCATTAAGCAGGCAGACTGCTGTGTGCTGTTATAAGTAACTTTTAACTTTTTTAAGTATGGCCATATTAGCTTGAAATCTGTAGCAAAATATATTAGTTTGTAAATGGAGGTTAACTTTCAGATGAATTTTATATAAGACATCAAGGCATAGGCCAACATTGATCAAAGTAAGAGAACACAGAGAAAGGGAGGAATGAACCATCAATAAAAATTACTACCGTATTCATTCTGTAGTGTCTGATTATTGTCTCTAGTGATTAACAGACTAATTAGATTAACCAGTGATTAGTAAATTGGTAGATGTATTTAAATAATGATTAGTCATCTGTTGTTAATTAGGAATTAGGTACCTTGCCAGAAACGTAGACTCATTCAGTTGTCTGTAATAATAATAGCTAATTAGCAGTAACCTCGGGTCATGTTTTTGGAAACAGGCCATAGATTATCATTCAGTTATGTATATCAGAAGCTTACTTATTTTATAACCAATAGAATCATAATATAACAGTTGCTAGTCCTGTAGTATCTTCACCATAGTTTGTTTGTGTTTAGCAGGCAGTTAACCTACCTTCAAATGGCTGATATATGAAACGAAAAAACGAAATGAAACGATATTAATCTTAGACAATAGAATCCATGTTTTTATCACAATGATCTTTATTTCAGATTTGTAAATGAGATGTCTCTAACCAATCGTGAATTTTCTCTGTTTTAATCACCTAATATCCTGAACCCTGGTATTTATTATGTAAGAAAGAATTTGATTGGCTGTTATTTTAAAGAAGTTTGTTTTGAGCTATCTGATTGGTAGAAAGATATTTGTTATGTATTTTGTTATTATGTATTGTTAGCTATAATTATTTGTTATGCATGTATGTTGAAACATCTTCAAATTCTTGGTCATTTTCGCAAGGTTTTCGTTCAAATTTTCGCTACCAGGTACTGTATAATTGCGATTACAATCCCCACCTGTTTATACCTCTTAAAATCTAAAAAAAACAATTACTAAAAATTTGAAGTCACAAATACTGTATAATTTCGATTATAATGCGCACCTATTTATGCTTTTTAAAAATGTTATTATGCAGTATATTATAAAGCTTAATTTAAGAATCGTTGGTGATATTCTTTCAGAGCTTCAATCACACATCGTATGTACAGTTTAAACAACAATAGAACTTCCATTCTTGAGAGCTGACTAAGAATTTGAAGATGGTGTTTTAATTTAAAGTAATATTCCCAAATAATTTTAGATACTATAAACTGTTTGATTTAAATTGGATAATTAACACAAAACCACACAATGAACCACCGTTACTATGTTACATTGTTGTACCAGTTCCAACTTATGTCTTACCATGTTCGTTTAAACCACACCCTGTAGTTTCGTGCATGTTAAAGAGACGATGATGTCCAATACGCTATTGCCTTAGATAGTAGTTGTTATATTTGTAGACTTGCCATGTTCGTAAGATTTTTCACAACACAATGGCGTCTGGACCATGTACCATTTCTTGTTTGTATGGTATAATATTGTATGGAAGGAGCACTTGTTTATCATGTATCATGATAATTGTAATCCAAGTATTTGTTTTCAGTCTATGCAAGAAGAACTCTTTATGTAACCTTATCAGCATTATTCTTATTTAGAATTGGAATTTTTAGATTTAAACCATGCGTACCAGAGTCACTAATAAGAGACTTTTTAAAAGCTTATGTACCATTTATAAAGTTGTGGTTTTATTAACTAATAATGTGATATGCAAAGTACTGTGATATTTATGAATACTTTACTTATCACGAATAAATTATTCAAATAACTATCGATATCTTTAAAATGTTTTTAGTTTCTCAAATGCTGTACTGGTATCTCCATTTGTAAGGACTTGAATATAAATGACACCTACCCAGTTTTGCATGGTAACGAGCTATAAGCGACAATTTTCTAGGCAACGTATCGTATGGTTCTTACAAATAATACACACGAACATCTCACAGCCATTTTGAAACCCTACCTCGACTTAATAAGTCGAATTTCTAAAATGACTATAATATTACAACGAAGCAATTTTTAAAACTTTAAATGTGATTTGATTGTTTTTTTTTTGAAATATATTAACCTTTTTTAAAATTCGATTTTTCAGTGCGCGTTATTTCAATGTAAGAACCTTACGTAGCTTCACAATGGCCTCCGCCTCAGTCTTCATAAAGAGCAGATCCCATCGTGCATTCCAAGAATCAGATTGTCAAGAATCAGATTGCTACGTTTTATATAGTTACCATATTCAAAGTCACACTGCTTCCGTCAAGTAACCAACAGTCCCGAACCATCAATTTGATCCTGATCCCACGACTATCAACAACTACACAGTCGTTAACTTGTCATCTACAATCTGTCAGTGTCTCTACTATCATAGGGACTGGTTGAACCAAGTTCACAGGGACCCTAACCCTAAGGGGGCCGACATTTCCAGAAAAAAATACAAAATTAAAAGACATTTATAAATGAGTGAGAAAGCATAGACTTAATTAAGCATAATTTTTCTATAAACAGGCATTAAATTGACTTAAAGAATTCTCGGGGAGAGGCCCCTACTCACGTTAGTCCACGGGGCCCCACCCACTTAGTTGAGCCACTGCTACTTATCAAGGCCAATGAGTGAAATAGTACTTCGATCAAGAGATCGTATGATCTTTATCTCGAGTATAATCTGTACGCGATCTTCTCAGATTTCATTGTAATTGACACCTGTCATTTCCCAATCACGCTCTATCCTTCTTTTAAAATCTACCCTTACACAGTACAACATGTTGGTATACCTCCTTCTCGCTGCCTTACTGACTGATTTCTCCTCGGCTGGTGTCTTTTATAAAGACTGTGGTAAGTTGTCTCTGATCTTTCTCTACACCACGGAAATAATCACATTATACCTATACGCACGTAGGAGTTCAAACACTTTAAAGGAGAACGGACGAAATACTCCCATTTTTCGTGTTGCGGCAATACTACTGGATTTCTCCTCTGCCTCTGTAGTATCTAATTTAAAGATTGTGGTTAAATTGTTTCTGACTATACTTATTTTAAACACTACAAGTAGGTAATTCTTATCAAATTGGTGTATTCTAAATGCTGAAATCTATTAGCCTCTACTTGTGACCTAGGACAGTGCTTCTACAGTACATCTTATATCAACCTACACTACAGAAATGTTGTGGAGCTTCTATGAATCATAGGGTAAAAGTACGTACGAGATAAAGTTGTCCGTAGTCATCCGCAAACGCAAAAAAAAAAAAAATCGCTCACTGAGCCATCTGTTGCGCTTACGGAGGTGTTGAGTTTGAGGACACATGTATGCAGAAAATTGGATTTGCTAAGGATTTGGATAGATTTAGACCATTTTTTTTATTGAGTATGCGTTTCAGTTCGAGTTTGTATACACATGTAATCACAGCCTTATACGCATTATATAATGAGAAGTCTAAATCATTAAAGGAGACATGAAACAACATCTTATCTATAGTCGACAAAATACATACTCCCACTTTATGTCACGGGACGCAAAAATACCAAAAATCTGTAAGAAACTTTTTTAAGCAAAAATTAGAAGCACTCTCAGAAGAAACATTTTCCCTACCTTTGTTTAGTAGTATATATACGCCCTTTACGAGTAGCAAACAAATCCAAAACGAATTTAACAGTTAACTATTTAAAGATATGTTAAATGTGGGGAATTTTTTCCAGGCTCTGTAGATGGAACCATCAGTAATATTGAAGTGTCATCATGTGCTTCAGAACCCTGTCAATTCCAGAAGAATACCAATATCTCTGTTACCATCGATTTTACCTCAAGTAAGTTCTACAGTTCTACTTGACGACTCGACCAAGAATTTGGAAGTTTTCTAGCCAGTGTATCGTACTAGGTGACGTCATAAATTAAACACACCAGTGAGTCACTCGAGTTTTTAATTCAACCGTTCTGATTCATTCCACCCCTGTCGTTCTTTTAATTCCAAAAAGAGAGGGCGTCACTGTTGTAAAACCAAAGCTTTAATCCTATGGTAAAAGCCATTGCATTCATTAATTGATGGTATTTGAGATAGCGACATCTTAATCTGTCTCTAGAATTACAGGAAACATAGTGGTTAACACCACGTTCCTTTCGTAATGACACACGCCGATTGTATCGTGAAACTATATCATTATCAATTGCCCAAACTGAAGCGTAGTGGATAAATGTGTAACAGAACTCTTCAACCGAACATAGTCTATAAAATCATTACCATCAGAGTCTAAATAAAGCAAGTATGTATGTTTGGATAAGTTTTTTTAAACAAATTGTAAATAGTATAGGCCTATATTTTGTTTTGTTTATTTTAGAGACAGTCGTGTCTAGTGCTACTACTGTCGTACATGGGATTATAGCCGGTATTCCCGTACCATTTACTTCAGTTCAACCTGATGCTTGTAAAGATATGTCTTGTCCACTAGCCAGTGGAACCAAATACACCTATAAGAATCAAGTAGCTGTATTGCCTATCTATCCTACGGTAAGTGTGTCTATCTATCCAAATCGAGAGCCTATGTATCAATGAGTCGATCTGTCCAACAGTGAGCTAATCCTTCTGCAGAGGACGAGGGAGTCTATCCAATGGTGAGCCCTGTATCTATATAAATAGGCCAGTATGATATATTATTCAATATTCGCTTAAAGTATCCGTTTTGAATAGGATTACCCTTAATCTTTGAAGATATCATACATTAAAGCTATCATGTTTTAATTAAGACCGTTTTTAAAGGTCGTTCATCATCATAAATCACCCTACTTATCAATGAAACTTGACCGTCGTCTACCCACTATAATATAACACAAATCTCGAGTCTGATGGAAAATATTTAAAATCACTCACATCAAAAATAGTTTTATACAAGCATGGTAGCTTTAAGTCTTCTTGAAATCAATATGACGAGTAGGCCTATGCTTCAAGATACAGCCCAGAGGTATGTGTGTATTATTGTTTATTATAGATCCAGTTGGTAGTCCAATGGGAAGTAAAGGATCAAGACGGAAAGGATTTGTTATGTTTTAAAATTCCAGTTAGAATAACAAATTAAACTAATTATAAAACGAATTCTCCTTTTACCATTGATAGCCATTATGTTTTAATAAATCCCTCAACTATTCAGTCAATAAATCAATCAGCAAATCAACCATTCAATCAATCAACAAATCGATCATTCAATCAAAAAATCAACCAGTCAATCAACAAGTCAATCAACAAGTCAAATCAATCAGTCAATCAACCAACTATTTTAATCAACAAATAAAAATTCAGTCAAAATATGCATTCAAGTAACAAATAAAAAAAAAACCAACCTTTCAATCAACAAATCAATCAGTCAATCAACCTATAAAATCAACCATTCAACCAATAAATCAAGAAGGTCTTGATTTTAGAGTATTGTTTCGATATGTCACTGTTGGAAGATTAGCTTTCTGTTGAGGTATTCTCCGATGGAAACTGATCAAGCGACTCAATGGATCTCGAACTCGTTGAGGCTTCTTCCAATTTAACATTTTATCAACATATCGGACGGATGACTCGATATTTCCGACGATCCTCCTTAATCACTCTTATAAGAGTCTAGTATCTCCTGATTTATTCCCAAAATCTGACCGGATCTTATTTCTGACACTTCCGGTGTGTTTGTTGTGTTTGGAGCGTCTAAAATTTCTTTACTCTTTTGATTTACAGTTTTGGGAATATCGTATTGTACAATTTCTGTTGAGGTTACGTATGGATTAGAGACGTCAGCGTTACTTGTATCACTATGTGATGTCACTTCCGGTTTTACCTCAGTTATCCGTTCCACCGTAACACTGATTGTATTCGTCTGCGTCTCGGCGCCATTTTGATTTTCCTCACTGATAGAGACACTGACTCGTTTATCATTGGACAGTGTGAAGACTCTGAACTGTTTGTCCTCGTTAAAATCGCCATGATAGAGTGGGTTCTCAAAGCCTGCTCTGTATTCCCGTTGATGTCCCTGTTGGACCATACGACACGAGTACAAGATGAAGGCAAATATCACAAGAGAGAGCACGATTACTAATGCAGAGACACCTACTATACCACGATAAGTTAAACCATCCGCTTCTGAAATAAAATGTAAGGGTGTAATAGAAAGATTATATTGTAAGGAAGCTGAAATTGATCTCTATTTTGACGACCTTACTACCAGAATTTGTCTTGCAGGCACTCGAAGTATGGTGCATATTCCTTTAGCAACGGTAGTACATGTATATCTTCAATACTACATAAACCTAATATGGATAATATCGTACCATTGCTAGAGGAACATGAGTAAGGTTCTGATAGAGTTATCGAGTGCCTGACAGAACAGTCCCGATACTATTTTTCTATTTAAAGATTAACAGAGCTCACTATTTGCAAAATGAAAAGGAACAAATGATCGAACTCTTACACAAGGCCAAGAAAACACAGCGGTTAAATGTTATCCCCCTTTCCTTAAACCTTTGTTATATTTTATACTATCTAATTTATTGACAATAAAGGTACCGATATCTCCACAATGTCAAGTAGCTCGTTATGCCCGAAGGTTGTTAAGATGGGGTACTGACTGGAAACTTTTGTGGAAATAAGGTAACTTATAGTGTCGTCCACTTCAATCAAATATCCTTACCTGCCCTAGTAATTTACTATTAGCTTAAAGCGATACTCACCGGTAGTAGGACTAGGATTTAGTATATAAGATATAGCAGGTGTTGTTACAGCTTGTATCGAGTTCCTGGTTATCACACTGGATGTTCTGGTAGTCCATTGTATTTTGGTGGCACTAGTAACTACATGGCCAGTAGGAAAACCAACTTAAAAGTTACAAAAAAAATAAAAGAAAGTACATGTATGACGGTCATTGTGGTGATGTCATGATATTGTACACAATGAATTGAACATTGAATTGATTCAGTTGGTTAGTAAATGACAAGTTGACGTTCGCTTCCAGCAGATGCTGATATCGCAAACTAGGTAGTTGTTGGTAGATGACAAGTTAACGTTCGCTTCCAGCGGATGCTGATATCGCAAACTTTGTAGTTGTTGGTAGATGACAAGTTGACGTTCGCTTCCAGCGGATGCTGATATCGTAAACTAGGTAGTTGTTGGTAGTCGTAGTAGTTGGTAGTTGGATTAATTGATTCAGTTCATTTTGACACATATTATGCATATTTTCGTATAGAAAAATACACTGTTTCAAATTTGTTAGAAATAAAGTGCGGGTGCAAACCATTTTTGTAGGGGAGAGGGAGGGCAAATGCGTTCTCCACCCCTGTACCGCCACTGACTATGACGAGTGGAGATAGTGCTATCCTACCTTTGGACGTGGTTCCTGGGATAGGTTTCTCACAGATAGAATAGGACAGGATTATAAAACAGTTATAGTCCATCCAGCCGCCCTGAAACATAATTAAACTGTATTACATTCACAGATATTCGGCCTTTTATTGACATTATATAATTATCACATTAACCGTGATTAAGACATGATAGCTTTAAGAATGAAAAAACAGAACATCTGTTTGATAAAGACTACTCTCACCTGTGGATTAATGTAGACGCAGTTTTCATGACCGTTAAGATTATTGGGTTGATTATTGCCCCAGTTTGTGAAGGACACACTACGGTTGTCGACCCATTTAAACACCGATTCCTTTTCTATATCATTCAAACCAATCCATGCCGAGTCATTGTCTATAGATAAAATCAAACCAAGGACCAATTTCATAAAATCTTACTAGAAATTATTTCACCGAGCCTTCAAATTAATGTGTGTCAAGAATTATTATTAAAATGACGACTCGTCTGTTTTGATACCACGCCATATATAACGAAGGTGAAGTATATTGGAGGGGATGATACGATTATCGTACAGTTCTAGTAATTCTGAAGACTATTTACATATATTCAATACCCAAATCAACCCACGAAAATGGCGAACCATGGCCTTTAAATCAACTTACACATGGCCATTAATCCACGGATAAAATCATTTTCTAGCTGATCTTCAATACTAATTAGACTAGCAGTCAGAGTCTTACAGACATCTCGGGCCACCATCCAGGGGTATTCCTGGTCTAAAACTTGGTAACACGAATCTTGATAGGCTGTCCATTCTTCACCACACCCAAATATCAAACCCTCTACAATATAAATAGGTTTGCTCTTATTTATTGCACGTTTCTAGTCGTTTGGATGGGACAATAAACGAAGCCTAGTGTGCTACATGCTATGTCCCATTGGACGTGAAGTAGTGTAAGGTATAGTTGTAATCTGTCTAACGTTTGTCACACACATGGTGCCTCGAAAACTTAAAGATCTTTTAATCCAAGAGAGTTGGCTGCTACTGTCCTGGCAAAAGTTACCCCAAGGAGCATTGTATTGGGTTACATATCTCGGAAATAGTTATATACAAAATATACTTGCTGAACTAGAGGTTCTTTGGTTTTTATAATAGCAATGGTGAAGATTTTGCTTTATTTTTCGCTTCCCCTTCCGGCTGCTGTTTTCTCTCTACTAAGCGAAGACTATTGCTACTGTCCTGAGAAACGATCAAATCACATTGCGAATTCATTAGCCTAGCCAAGGGCAGAAAAAAAGGATGCTATACTGTTAATCATTTACCTGGCAATGTTGAAGATCTACTGACAGGCAGTGGAGTAGTGGCTGGAGTTTTCTCCCCTGAAATAGTAATATAACAATGTGGTTAAAGTATAACTGTATACCCCTAGTCTTTCTTTAGAATAAGTATACAATTTCTTTTTTTCTCAAATTATAATTTCACACTTGAGGCAAATAAATAAATAAATGATTACTTTTAGACATAAGTGTCAGGTATTCAAATTTTTACGAAGTTGGCATTACACGTAATGCAAGGAGCTCTGACAATTCTTGTATTTTGTTTGTCTTGTCGTGTGTTGATGTATGAGTAATTGTTGATGTCTGAGGAACGGGGCAAAAATAATGAGTCCCAAAACTCTTTAGGCCAGAGGTCTAGTCAGAGGGTCTGAGATGAAATTAAAGGGCTTAATTTCCACTTCAAAATAAGAAGGGACCCATTCCCCCTCCCCCTAAATACGCTTCTGATTGTGAGATTATTCCACGAGAATTCCCAAAAGTGTAATAAAGAGTTATCATTTTTGATTGTTAAATCAGACAACTTACCCCTCTTCTTACAAATAAACGCCGTTTTATTCTGACAAGGGAAATCACTCCATTTGCCTGTTGATGTCAAAATGGCGCCACAATCTTCACCATTGCCGTTGTTATCAGGCTGCCCTAAGAAAAGAAAAGCGATTATTTTTTTGAAGTCGTACTAAAATAATAACTGATAACAGACAAAATGTAATTGGTCTAGAAATACCTCCACGTCGTTCATGATTTCCGAATTACAGAGTTGTGTCCCTTGTTGGTAGACAACAAATAACTATATGGTAGAGATGCCTAGCACAGAAGATAACTTTGCGGTAAACTAAGATCAATGTAACGGTAGATACGCAATTTGTCGAAAGTTGTCAAACCATTTACAAGAATAAACTTTGTGATTTTCTTAATATGTACGAGCATACCTCATCGAACCCTCGATACAAGATACTGACAATCTTAAGGCCTATACCTACCGTCGGACCAATTTATATAAGCTAATGGTGTACGGTCGATCCACTCCCAGCCTCCCTCATGGTTTAAATCATTCAAACCTAACCATAGATATACATTGGGTAAAGTGAGAACTCTACCTGAAAATAACACGTTTAACATTATAAAAATCTATTCTCACTTTATATTCTGAAAGATGTTTCAGGTATAACTAAGATAGGCATTTATGATCTTTCCGACAGATACAACCATTCAACCACGTAAAGGATCCAGAATAGGTTTTTAGTTTATGTATGTATATTATGAATATTTATAGCTTGTATTTGCTCGATTCCGATTTCCCGAAGGCTACAACGCCAATTGATATTATAAAAAAGAGTCGGATTCTGCCCCAAGCTGACCTGTATTCAAGCTGAATACCAACCGATCATAGTTCAAGATACATCTACAAAGACAAAGGGAGAGATGATTGATATTCTTAAATAACTAACTCATATTTAATTAATTGTTACTTCCAAGATCTTCTATTATTGACTGGCAAACATAAAATCAAAATCTGTTGGTCTCAGACTCTGCCAGTTTCAAGGTCGACCTTAGTCTCCTTAACCCTTCAACGATAAAATGTTAGTCATGATATGCTAAGTATTTGTCAGAATACGTTTTATTAGGCCCTACTATAATATGTATAAAGGATAAATCTATTATTACCAGTTAGATATAGCTGTTCTTGTGGATTATTGATACTGGCTAAAACACTGCCTTGTTCCGTACAGAATTGTTTTGCCTCGAACCAGTTCAGCAGGACCTCGGGGTACTGATAACAACTTCCAGTCTCCCTACTCCGTTCCCACAGGGGACCACAATCCACGCTGTTAACTGTTGGTGCTACAAAATACCAAAAGCATCGGGTATCACAAGGAGATAGTGATACAAGCGTACGTGTTTAAACAGCAACCACGAAGAAAACGTTCGCCAATTTGAGAAATACCCTTATGCACACAGTTATATCCCCTCCGTTTCAAGTTTTACCTCTTGTGTTATCCTCCATTTTCAATCTCCAACTTATTTATTTTATCCTAGTTCTTTTCTACTTATGTTTTTTGTAACCCTGTCTGGTGTTATAGAACCTAGTGTACACTAGAAGCATATATAATTCGGTAGTTGATTTATTCCAGAACGTTGCCCCTAGCAGTCCAGTAGGGACATTTTGCAGATCAGAGACATTCTACATCCGCCACTATAAAACAATAGCATGGGCAATAAAGTAATGGTTTTATTCAAAACTGTTGTGGTCTGGTTACTTATTGCTCGCTGGATACTAGGATTTAAATGGAATTGTGGGAAAATTGATAAATTCTAACCTTTATTAGTTATTTTCTGCGTAGCTTCGGTCTGACTTCCGGTTCCATCTTTAAAAATAAATGAACATTAAAACATTGTAGGAAATTTCATTGTCATCCTTAATGTTTAACATTTCAATTCATAAGACAATAATTATCATATTATTCATTCGCTAGCGATTGACTCATGGCACAGGTACTCTTCCGTATTCAGTTAGCCTGAATAACACATGGTTTATCAAACGGTCAACCGTGAAAGTTTTCCTTTTGTTCTGCATTCAACTACGAAAACCGTCGAAAGATGCCAAATGATAGTTAATTTGCAAGAGTTAAAATATACACATTACCTTTGTGCCGCTTACAGAGAAATTGGTTGACGTCATCACATGATTTCATAGTAACTACAACACTCCATATTAAACCACAGTTCGTCTGGTGGAATTTTGGTTGCCCTGGTAACCATGTTTCATCCCTAAAGTCAAATAGGGAAATAGTAGTATCATACAATTCTGCACCTATTGTTCGCGTCACATTATTCCGTCGCTGGAAAGTGCAGCTACGTGATTGGTTAAAACAGAGGTCAAGCAAAAGTTAACAGAATGAAAAGTCAAGAAGGACATTGTTAGACCTTACTATAGTGGAAACGAATCCAATAAAATACGAACGGAAATTAGGTCTAATTTTAATTAGACCGGTAAAGTATGGAACGTCATCTACCAACAACTACATAGTCTGCGCTAACAGCTTCTATCGTTTAACTTGTCATCTACCAACCACTACAACTGCTATTGGAAGTGGACGTTAGCTACCAACCAACTATCAACAACTTACAAGATGGAGTCGTCAAAATTTAAACCGTCGTCCCAAACCAAGGTTTTGTCGTCTGATCTACAGTTAAGTCCTATCCACCATTGATGACTGCCGTCTCTATTTAGATACTGGGTAATTTCATTAAACAACCATTCCTAGAAAGGATATGTAATTGAATTAACTCATAATATATTAAATAACGGACACAATTTTATGGTATACTACTCCTTAGTCTTATTACTGTTTTATTATTGTATTAAAACTAAGGAGTAGTATAACATAAAATTGAGTCCGTTATTTAATGTGATCTCTATCCCTAAATGTCGCTAAAGGATTATATAGGATATCATTTATTCAGACCTACGGTCCTTTGTTTAAGCTGAATGTAAATAGCTTAAGCATATGAAGACACATGTATGCCGTTATCAAACAACAATTCTTGAAAGGGGTATATTCTTAATAGTACTTATTGTCCAAACACCCTGTAATTAGACCTATAATCATGGGTAGTTACGCATTTTCGGGTTTTAATTTAGGCGAAGTACAGTTGATTTAGGTTTATGCTGATGTAGCATATGAAGGCACATGTTTGCCCTTATCAAAATATGGATTAAATGCGCAATATATTATCAAATATTTGAACGTTGTCAGTGGGCAATAACATGCTACGATAGTCGCAGGAAAATAATATAAAGCACATAGATGCTCTTAGACAATTTATGGTTTGGGAAATGGGTTACGTATGTATGGTATCTTCACGATGTCAAGCTACAACGAACCTTGACTGCTATGGCCACAACTGCCTTCCATACAAAACCTAACCCAATATGAAATAGAAAACAACCTTTTCTTTGAGGTCAGTAATCCACCATTGGATTGACATTCCGACCTTGACCTTGGGTGTTTAGGGCTTTTTCTCCTTTTCTCAAGAAAAGGAAATGGTCACAACTAATTTCCATACAAAACGCATCAAAAGTATGAACTTGACCCACCTTTTCTTTGAGGTCAGTAATCCACAGCAGGTCTCCACCATTGGCTTGACATTCCAACCTTGACCCTAACCAAGTCTTACTACTGGATGATAGTGAATAGCAGTAGTCAGAATCTCGTCTGTCAATCCAGCCTTTGGGACAGGGAGGTACACTTTCTGCATGGTAACCTGGGGTTATATAAAAATATATAACAAACCACCTTCACAATGTCAAAATATTACGAACTCCGTCTTATACCTTGACATCATTAGATACTTTCCTCGTTTATTTATTGAACAAAAATAGTGCATTATCTTCTACCAAGCAAGACAGAAGTTCAAGCTAGCGCAACCATGTTATTTACCGTCCTTCTGTCGAGGGCTCTGATTGGATGTATTCGCTTTTAACAATCCAATCAAATCACAGCAATTACAAACTTCCGTGATACATGAAAAGTGCCTAATTTTATCATGGTATTAGTGAAATTCACAATACCTTGACAATGTGAAAACGAGAACAAACAAACCTTACATGCAAGATAGAAACCAAACCACACTTAAAGATGTAAACAAATGTGTTATATTAGAATAAAATTAAATAAACTTGCCCGCATCTGATTGGGCCAATGATGACTGGGAAAATAGTGCAGTGTGCAATGGGTGATATTTTCCCGAACAAGCGTTATTAGTCTATTCCTTTTCTATATAAGAAATAGAGAAATAGAAATATGAAATAAACAACCATATCTATGGATTTTATACGGTGTCAGTAACCATACGACTCTCCGACCAGTCAATTTGTTTCTTGTTTATATCTGAAATGAGTGTGGAGTCTGGGATCTCGAACCATACATAAGAGATAGGACTGGATTCTCACCTGATATCGCGAGTATTGTCAAGAAATACAGAAGCATTGTTATAAATAAAATAATTATTCATCGGTATTTGGTGTACTGTATACTGGTGCTAGAACAGCAGACCAATATGATGTTGTTACTTGTCGGTGACTACTCAGACTAGTCAGACTAGGTTTCACAACGTTTAATTGATATCGAATCGAATTGAAAGCAACCTATCTGTGGTTGTGGTTGTCTCAATATATTACTATATAAAGTCCTTAATAGAAAATGATAAAACTACCATATGCACTGGCATTTAGTGAAAAATCAGCTGAAGAGGTTCTATGTTAGAATCCTAAAGACACTTGTGGTACACGTAGTCTACGACTCAAAACGATTATACAACTACAGAGAACTGCTACAATGATGTTGGACTGTCATCCGAAAACGCACATTTTACAGTATTAACTTATCAGCAACAGAATTAAACTGAATAAGCATCCCAAACAAGTCGTACACGCTTATTTCAAACTCAATACATTCAATTCCAAGTCCTAGATATGATTTGTTACGTCGGATGGACAAAACAAAGTAAAAAAGCAATTTTGTTGTGTGATAATTGATAATAAACAAGGCCAATAAGCGATAATATAAACCCAGTATATCGCCACCATAATATATTATAGATACAGATAAAGATATTATATCTTATCGTAACTTGTTTCAACATTCATTTTCATCACATTTACCATTCATTTTAAACCGCCATTGATACCACTGCAAGTGTTTTCGTGTTCACTATTTTGGCTGGTTAATTTGAGTCTTGAATATATGTAAATAGCCTTAAGAAGTATTGGAAATATACGAAAATCGCATAATTCCTTTAAAAATACTTCAAACTAGGAATTTTACCCACTATTTCTATATATGTCTTTTCTATATATCACAGAGTATCTTAAATTGAGGAGTCGTCATTTTAACATTTAAACACATGGAGTTGAAGGCTCAATTTTCTACGGGGAGCTGTGAACATTATTTCTGATTGGCTTAGCCAAGTAATTCCCGTTTCTGAGACTAAAGTATGATTGGTCAAATAATTGGCGCACCTGTCCCTTTAAATTCATTCAAGTGCTGAATATAAGTTTACCCTAACTGCAGTATATATAGGTTTACCCTAGGGTAACTTACACTCATGGACGTCATACTGCAGTTATGGTATACTTATATCCTTATATTTAAAGGGGGGGGGGGGGGGGAGGGCATGACTGACTATTAATGAACGACTTTCAATCCGGGGATTCAGGGTGTCCTAAACCTATAGTGGACCATTATTAGTCGTAGCCATTGCAAAAGGTTTCCTCTTATGGAAGGTTACCGAGAGGTTGTAGAAAAAAGGGAAGAAAAACAGAATTGTTTTTTCTGTCGTTCAAAATTGTCTGCACAGAATATTATCTTTATACCCCCAGAATCAATTAAACAGTGTGTAATCTTGTATATAGTTTGTAGTTTAGTGGGACCTATTGAAAATTAGACTTTTGTTTAAATGGTGACCAAAAATAAAGTTATAATAGTACAATGGATAGAGATACAGGGGGGGTCGGGGTCGGTGTTGGGGTCGGGGTCGGGGTTGGGGTCGGGGTCGGGGTCGGTGTTCAGGGGAATTTGGCATCCTAGATAAATGGTTTGCACCTCAACTTATTTTTACCAAATTTAAAAATATGATTTTTATACGTTTTTTCCAAAAAATATTTATCAGAATGCACCAAATCAATTCAATTTTCGAAAATTTTCTTAGGAGAACACTGAGACACTCCAGGCTTGCCATCATAACGCCTCTACACAAAATTGCCGCAAGCTGAATTTTAAACCCCTCATTTTGTTAGGATAACCTATTTGTCCCTCCATTGGCGCCGACACTATTATAGCAATATAATTGTACTGATAATAATCTTCATGTATTCATTTGTCATCTTTTTCCATGTTAAATCACGAAATTCGACCATCTATAACTTTTTCCAGAAATCTCGTTGAATAATATGTCACATTTAAGCCTGTTCACGGAAAAAAAAGTACTAAAAATTCGTACAAGCAAGGCAATTCCGTTAATCAAAATCTCGTCCAAAGCATGGCAAAATCAAAAGTAAAAATATAATAGTCGAGGACTCCTCCAAAGAGAAGTACCATCAGGTGTTTCGAAAAGACTATCTAGACCAAAAATTAGTCAAAAATAGGCAAGCAAAAACTCAAAAGGCGGGAGAAAGAGGATTTCTAATATAAACATAGTATAAATATAACTACTGTATAAACATGATCTAATTACCAAACTTTTTAGCATTTTATTAGCCCAATCAGAGTTAAGATGAGTATAACGTAATACTCCATTGTACTCCTAGATAAGTGTTCACCCTGTTTATAGTATGATTATAAACTATTGGTAAAGTATAAACTTGATAGCCCAGAGTCAATACAGGTTCTTATTACCAAACCTGTGGACAAATCGATGAATACGATTGTTGCCATGGTAACGATAAGAATAAATATTGCAAATGTCATTTCTTATCGTTAGTCATTAGGATAAAGTACAATATTATTTGTAAAAATCCTTTCGACCTTATTCAGTATTCAAATTATATTGCCACGGCGATATTTCCTATCTTTCACACAACCACAAAGGATAATCAAAATAAAATCAAAGGATAAAAAATCAAAATCAAAATCAAATGGTAACAAAATAAATCAAAGGATAATCAAATTAAAATCAAAGGATAAAAAATCAAAATCAAAATCAAATGGTAACAAAATAAATCAAAGGATAATCAAATTAAAATTAAGGTGTAATCAAGGTTAACAAATCAATATCAAAGGACAATCTAATTTAAAAGGAAAAAACCCAAAGGATATTCAAATTTAAATCAAAGGATAATTGAATTAAATCAAAGGATAATTGAATCAAACCCTCCTTTCACTGGGAGAATCAAACCCTCCTTTCACTGGGAGAATAAAACCCTGCCTTCTCTGGGAGAATCAAACCCTGCCTTCTCTTGGGAGAATCAAACCCGCTCTTCTCTGGGAGAATCAAACCCTCTCTTCCCTGGGAGAATCAAACACTCCCTTCTCTTGGGAGAATCAAACCCTGCCTTCACTGGAAGAATCAAACCCTGCCTTCACTGGAAGAATCAAACCCTCTCTTTTCTGGGAGACTCAAACCCTTCTTTTCTGGGAGAATCAAACCCTCTCTTCTCTGGAAGAATCAAACCCTCTCTTCTCTGGAAGAATCAAACCCTCTCTTCTCTGGGAGAATCAAACCCCCCTTCACAGGGAGAATCAAACCCTCCCTTCTCTGGGAGAACCCAACCCCCCCCCCCTTTTCTGGGAGAATCAAACCCTCCCTTCACTGGGAGAACCAAATCCCCCCTTCTCTGGGAGAATCAAACTCTTCCTTCACTGGGAGAATCAAACCCTCCCTTTTCTGGGAGAATCAAACTCTCCCTTCCCTAGGAGAATTAAACCCTGTCTCCTCTGGAAGAATCACCCCTCCCCCCCCCCTCCCTCCTTATCTGGGAGAATCGACAAACCCTCCCTTTGTCTGGGAAAATCAAACCCTCCCTTCACTGGGAGAATCAAACCCTCCCTTCTCTTATCTGGAAAAATCAAGAAACCCTCCCTTGTCTGGAAGAATCAAACCCCCCCTTCACTGGGAGAATCAAACCCTCCCTTATCAGGGAGAATCAAGAAACCCTCCCTTCACTGGGAGAATCAAACCCTCCCTTATCAGGGAGAATCAACAAACCCTCCCCTACTCTGGGTTATCAATCCCTCTCTTCTCTAGGAGAATTAAACGCTATCTTCTCTGGGTGAATCAAACCATCCCTTCCTTAGGAGAATTAAACTCTCCCTACTCTGGGAGAATCAGAATCAGAATCATCACATCACTACCCCTTCCGAGCCGTAGCCCCTGACATTTTTATGATCATTTCGCAATCCTCACAAATGGGTTAAACAATTGAGTTTATTATTTATTGGAGTACATGGATACCAAATGTTTCTTCAAGAATTGACATGTTAGAAATGAAATATAAGTTATAAGTTAAAATGCAAGTTTGAAAGGTTTATGAATTATTAACCAAATTATTAGCTGGAAAAGATAACAATAATGATTTCAAACGACCCGACACTTGTCCTTCAGATAACATTTCAAAAACAGCATAGATTGTGAAGGAAATAGACATGTCATTCTCATTTATAAATTCACAATCAATTACTAGAAAATCAAAAAAAAAAAAACTGACAAATAAAAAGAAATGAAAAGGAGTATTAGGTCCTACAATATTCTACAGATTGAGATAGTGAAGACGCAGACGCCTTTCCCGCGCCCCTCCCCTAACACTGACTCGGATTTTGTAATTTAATTTTAATAAGATTGGATCAAAGCTCTTTCAAATAAAAGGACAATCAAATGATATTGAAATTTATGCCATTCATTGTCTGCAAATAATAGGTGAGAAAGTTTGTTTGAGATGGTTTACTGGTTTCAGTAAGTGTCTGTTTGAGAGCGTTTACTGGTTTCAGTTAGTGTCTGTTTGAGAAGGTTTACTGGTTTCAGTTAGTGTCTGTTTGAGAAGGTTTACTGGTTTCAGTAAGTGTCTGTTTGAGAAGGTTTACTGGTTTCAGTAAGTGTCTGTTTTAGAAGGTTTACTGGTTTCAGTTAGTGTCTGTTTGAGAAGGTTTACTGGTTTCAGTAAGTGTCTGTTTGAGAAGGTTTACTGGTTTCAGTAAGTGTCTGTTTGAGAAGGTTTACTGGTTTCAGTTAGTTAGTGTCTGTTTGAGAAGGTTTACTGGTTTCAGTTAGTGTCTGTTTGAGAAGGTTTACTGGTTTCAGTTAGTGTCTTTTTGAGAAGGTTTACTGGTTTCAGTTAGTGTCTGGGAATGTTTACTGGTTTCAGTTAGTGTCTTTTTGAGAAGGTTTACTGGTTTCAGTTAGTGTCTGGGAATGTTTACTGGTTTCAGCAAATGTCTAATTGTTTTTCGATCGGATTCATTCTAAGAGTTTTAATTTCTATTTTCTATTTATTACATTACTAAAGACGGACAACGCCAAGCAGTGGGAAATGAGGGAACAGCTTACTCTATCGTTTTTAGCCATGTCTACTTATCCTGGACGCTTATATCCAGTAGCACACAGGCACTTAGTATATGAAATAGTAGAATATATCAACGAATTAAAAAGGTTTAGATATTTGATCCTATGTTGACATTGCTGTTGAGCCATCATAAAATAATAATAAAAAAAAATAGCAACAAATAAAAACTGGCACAGACTAGCGCATCAGAGTGTCGACCATGAGGTCTGAATTGTTGTAGCAACGTAATATTTATATCGGTTGTCTTAGATAATTTTTACTATATTAGTGCAAGATCTCGTATAATTCTAATCAGTGTGATTGCCAAGTTTCGTCAATCAACTCAACATTGCAGGTAGGCTAAAATTATTTTCAGTGTTAAAACTGACGCTACTAGAATCAGTGTGGTATTGAAGGGAATTCACATCAAGTATAGAATTTAAAATTTCTGAAAAAGTTTTAATTTTGGACTGCAGAATCGGTGTGCTAATGTCGGACTAAGGCAATCTTAACTAAGGCCTTTTTCAATTATCTTTCATATTGAAATTTGAAATGCAATTTTTGGTTTGAAATTATCAAAAATCATAAATTTTAAATTTAAAAGGCACTTCCACCAATAATTATTCGACTTATATATTTAAAAAAAGAGGTAACCCAATTTTACTTTGTTCTAAAATAATTGAATTGGACATGTAGCAGTTGTAAATTTTATGTTCAGATAAAAATCCTATTTCGAACATTTTATGTATGTAAAAGCCTTTTAGGTACGCATAAAAAATAGTTTTTTTTTAATACATTTTGCCCAAGTCGAAATTTCGGATTCCACAGGTCGAAATTTTGAGTTCTAAATATAAAAGGACAACACAAGTCGTAATAGAAATTTAAATTTACATCCTTTTTTCTGCTCACAGTTGACTAATCAATAACTATAATAGACAACAGGTAAAGCTTTGTATGCAATGTTTATTGATCAATAGTTTTCTTGTGGAATACGAAATTTTGAATTGTGCAAAATACATTCAGAAAAATTAAATTACAATTTTCATATTTAGGTTTTCGTAAATACTAACTACAAATTTTCTTTCTTAAATTTTTAACGTTAATTATTGGTGAAAATTCGCAAAACTTATAGCTATCCAAATACGAAACGAAGCCACCAAATCTGGCCCTTAACTGTCTGTATACCACTATCATTCGGCAATCCTCGATAATTTCCGTAGTAAAGATGAATCTGTCTCGGTATTACCGAATCGGTAATGAATGGTGAATTTTGTGGTGTCTTCTTGGGCAAGATTCTTTACTTCCGGTATTGCAAATTATTTGTCAAGTGATAGTAATATTTCGACTCAAATATGGTCCATATATCAGAAGATAATACTGACACTAACTGAAAATATGAACACAATTTTATGGATAACAATTACTTTAATAAATAAATGATTGTTTGATAAAGACGAAAGTATCATCGTCGAAACGTCGCAAGTTATTTATTAAAGTAATTGGTATCCATAAAATTGTGTTCATATATTCATACCTCGATTACTAAATGCCATATAAGGAAGTGACTCTAACTGGTGTGTATTTAATGCTTTATTATCTGTTTACTCATGATAAATTTTGAATCAATATCCTACGTAGCTTTTGTGTTTATTGACTGTTGATTTCATTTGTTATGTTCTTATATAATCGTAAATCAAGAACGATGATTTTAAAATGGCAGATAAAATGTGTGATTTGACAAAAACTATTATTTTGCGTGTCCCGCAAGAATTTTCAGAAAATTATCACCTCAAATTTGGGGCTCGTAAATCTAATTATGTTATCAAGTCTAAAGACTTGACTTGACAGCCCAGCTGCTGTTTCTGTGTGACCGGGAATCCAATTGCTATTAGGCATATCTTGATGTATTTCAGACAAAGAATATAAAGATGGCAAAGGGAAGAGAGTTGTTCAAACACATTCTATTGTTGGCCATGATAGGTAAGATTGTTGGAGGCGACTATGTATGTCTCGTACGCGAAATAATATATTTTGAATCACTACCGCGACTTTTTGAATTTTCAAATCAAAGCCATTTCTAAGCCTTTAAACGTGATTTGAAGGCTTTGTTGAAATGTTATTACATTTTTAAATATTCGACTTGTTAAATCGAGATAGATATTCAAAATGGCTATGATCTACGTTCGTGTGTGTTACTTCAATGTAAGAACCATACATAGTTTCGTATGTGGTACAGTACTGGTGGTTCTATTTAGCATGTAATGACCTTGAAATCATCCATTCAGTTGCTAAATGAGAAGTAGATAAGTCATCTTTCCTCACTATTTCACATAGATCATTCTCTCTTACTATTTCAGCACAGTTGTAATTAAAAACTGTTAAATTGTGGGAAGGATCAGTGCTATTAGGTTTACCAGCTGGTAGACAAGATTCTTGAAAACCGAAGTTGTAGATCCTTGATGGAATTCCAAGCTTATTTGTCCTGGATCTAATGTGGACGAAACAACCAAACAGCTTTGTCTCCTAACTATAACAACTCCATGACATTGTCTTTTATCCTGATGACAACAGTTTATCTTTTAACTTATCTTTTGCAGCCCTGTGTTTTCATGGAGTTTCTGTGAATTCAGCAGCGACAGAAACACCTACAAGCAATGCTCCAGTCTCTGATACGAGTACTTCTCCAAGTTCCGAATCAAGCAGTGCTCCAGGCTCTAATACGAGTGATGCTACAGGCTCTGATACGAGTGATGCTACAGGCTCTGATACGAGTAATGCTACAGGCTCTGATACGAGTGATGCTACAGGCTCTGATACGAGTACTTCTCCAAGTTCCGAATCAAGCAGTGCTCCAGGCTCTGATACGAGTGATGCTACAGGCTCTGATACGAGTACTTCTTCAAGTTCTGAATCAAGCAATGCTCCGGGCTCTGATACAAGTGATGCTACAGGACCTGATACGAGTGATGTTACAAGCTCTGATACGAGTGATGAAAGTAATGCTACAGTAACTGGATCAACAGTAGAAAGTGCGTCTGAAAAAAATGGGTGCACTCTAATGTCGCTGTCGGCCATAACGTTAATTATAACCTTTTCTCTTCCGTTGTTTTTACACAAACTTCGATATTAATATCTGTCAGCCATTTTCTTTTGCCTTCTTCTGACTGAGGGTAAAGCAAAATGGACCCTCGCATCGGTTCTAATTTTTCTTTAAAATGGTGTTGGAATGTCTCAGGAACTATTCCATAGTATTGCAATTATTAGGGTATTAGGGTGTAACAATTTTGATCCACATTTTGTTTCATTGTTTATTTAAATTTTAAAGAATCTTTTATCGCTTAATGGCCTTTATCACCTATTGTGTTGATTGAACTCCTATCCTGGACGTGCACTATTAACATTGACCTACTTTTATGAACGACTTTCTTATTAAAGCAGATGCGAGGTTTTAAGACTAAACTAGTAGTCCGAGAATCGACCAATTTCAAATCCTCTTGACAAATGAGCTGTTGTAATCAAGATGAAGCGGTCGATCTTCGGACTATGATATCTGTGTTAATATATCAGGGATTGTTGCAGAGAACGTCCTCAGTTCGTTTTAACTTGATGATTTTAATGTTTACAATTTCCCATTGATGTTAATAAGTCAAAGGGGGAATACAGTTGTCTGTATATTGGACTGCTATATTCCTTATATGACTATTATCACGGTCATTCAGATTTCTTAAGTTGGTTTTTCTAGCAGCCTTCCCTGAATTTTTGACATTTTTCACAATGGGGGAAGAGGATAAAAGGACACTTGTAATGATTCTTCTCCCACTCGACTATTCTAAAACTGTACAGATGTGTGGACTTAACTTATCAATGCATTTTTATGTTTTAGTGTTTCTGGCTGACATTGAGCTCTATTAAATAGTACATCAATATCTAGATTGAGCTATATTAAATAGTACATCAATATCTAGATTGAGCTCTATTAAATAGTACATCAATATCTAGATTGAGCTCTATTAAATAGTACATCAATATCTAGATTGAGCTATATTAAATAGTACATCAATATCTAGATTGAGCTCTATTAAATAGTACATCAATATCTAGATTGAGCTCTATTAAATAGTACATCAATATCTAGATTGAG